ATTCACTTAATCTCTCACTTAACTGTTCAAAATTCTACACTAATTGGCATTAACCTCGTTGCCATGTCAGGCTACCAGAACGAGGTATCTCACCTCAAAATATCCACATAAGGTTTTATCTCGAATAAAAATTATTCAGCTATTGATTCACGGTCTATAAACAGTTAAAAATTCATGTTAAATAAAAGATTGTATCTGAGCCTCGTTTTCATGCTAATCAACAAGTGGGTGACACTTCTACCTTAAATTATGCACATTAGAGGGCAGATTCCGGGTGGGTCCATAGCTATAATTGATAAACTAACGAATATCTACCTTTGTGCCAAATTTGACGCTTTTACCATAAATCCCACAATTTTTACACCAATCTGCTGGACTAAATGAGAAACTATACAGGATTACTCCAGAGAAAAAAAAGTTGATTACTGAGGAACAGCACTGATACTCGACATACTCTCAGTCATCGTGTGCCGCATGGGTTTGTATGCATAAAAACGGCATGCCAACTCAGAAGGCTCCATATTTCCTTATAATGATGATAATAAGGACCTTTATCCTGTTCTGTCTACTATCATAAATACACCTACGACTACCCTATCTTCATTAGCCCTCTAAGGTTAGTATGGGTAGCCTATATAGCTGTACAGTCTATTTATAGTATATTAAATTTATTTTGTAATAAACTGCAAATCGCTAGGTAAAAATTAAAGGTTGTTGTCGTCATCAGGTTGAAAAATAGAGAGGTCCTGAGGTCCTTAGCCGAGCGAAAGTCCCCAGCATCAGTGAAGCAGACTGTCAAAGCTGCGCTGAGCAGCTGGGTCACGCCGGTCGCAAGCTAAAACACCACGTCTACCAAAGAGTTTTCTTTATGGTAATCGCACCCAAGGAGGCTTCAAAAGCACCAAGGACAATATAAAAATAGTCGTCGTAGGTCTGCGGTATTGACCATGACACATAGGAGGAAGCGCTTAACCATCTTGAAGGGCGCCAACAGCTGTGAAGCCAAAAGGACAACTGCAGATGAGGAAAGCAGACTTCCAAGAAAGTTCGAGCCAGCAAAACTTCAAGTGTTCCCACCGCCTCATGTCCGCACCGTCAAAAGAATCTATCGGGCAAAGATTCGGATCTGCCACCTACGCAAACACATAATTCCCAGCCCTAGAATGATTAGGTGGTCTTCGTCGCATCGACCAGCCGACGAGATCTGTAAACGCTTTCTCATTCTTTGAACCTTTACCCCATCGAGAACAGACGTTTTTATTTTAAGTGCCCTGGGGCCCTTTTCTCGAAAGGCCCGGTGATTTTTCGGGCCCAAAGGCAAATTTTAAAATCAAAACCTATTGAATAGTAGGCTAGTTCCAAACAGGTCAATTTTGCGTCGTTGACTGATAGTTTCATTGCATCATTTTCAAAACTAATTAAACTTTGATCTTGAATGCCAACATGGCAAACATAAAACAGCTTTCCGGGCCCGAAAAGTTACCGGGACTTTCGAGAAACGGGCCCCAGGCCCTATTCGGTCACAACCTCCCTCAAGATTAACTGGATACCTTAAACCAATGCTGTTATACTTTTAAGTTACTTAACACTTTGAAAGTTTAAACGGTTTTACTTACTTTGAAATTCATACTTGATATTTATCATAGTCATTTCCAGAGAGAAGGGTCCATAAAATGGACGGGTGGAATTTGTCAACTTGTGCTATAAAACATCCAATTGAGTTATTTGTTGCTATTTTAAAGGACGGAAACGTCATCAATAGATACGCTTTCCTTTCATTGGGCTGGTATTGTATTCAATTTCATTATTTAAATTTTGGTAATTATGAAAATATTTGTGAATCCTATCCGTATTCAGTTTACTACATATTTAGATATCTTTCTCCGCTGGACTTACAAATTTAGGATCAAACCAAGAATTTCCCTATTTCCGTTTAGGTAACGCGTTTAAATCACACTTGAGGTTTAAAACGGTGGAACATTCGACCGTATTTGCCAAATGTTTACATACAAATTATACTTAGCCTCACCTTGAATGTATTCCATTGTGTCTTTTAAATATTAAATGAAGGATAGGATTGCAAAAGTGAGGCCCTGTTGGAACTCAGGGATGTTTTTTCCAGTGAAAATTAAATGTAATATTCAAATGAATTTTTTACACTTTAAATTGTTAAGAAATTAGCAGTTAGCAAATTCTAATCCGCACTTGTTCATCAACGTTATGTTTAATTAACAATGATCATCATGTGTGTACTTCTCGAAAAGACGAACGTTTCGTCAACCATCTAACGTGTTATGCATTTAACTATATAAGTGATTGATTAACTGTCAGACGACAAAAGAACCACAACAAATAAAACAAGACGGTCCAATCTCTAATTGGTCTCTTAAAGAACAAATGAATTGATTTAATAACTTCTGATCACAAAATCCAGAGATTCTTACCGTGTCTCTGGCAAAGCCTGTGAGTTGAATTAATATTTAATAATCACAAGTAGTACAATGTTGTGGTGGTATTAATACCGCCTGATAAGACAGAGAAATTGTTGTCTCTTCATAGCATTCGAGAAGGTCACTTCAGAGTTCAGGTAGGTGAACTGAGATTTGTAAAATTTGGCTTGTAAGCTAACCGAGATAAGAAAAACCCCTCGCAGCATATTTTCTCTCAAATCTCAGATTGACTCTGGCAAGTAAAGAACTAACATTAAATTAACTTCTAGAATCAGAATTTTCAGAATCTTATTAATGTACCTGTAAGGTGATCCGAGACTCGGGGCATTAGGGAAAACGTCCTAGAGAATCTGTTTAAAATGATAAATTTACTTTATCACCCTGTTGGGAAACCATAGTTAACCATGTTTCTCTACACTACCGACTCATCTAAATTCATTAAACAACTTTTCAATCCTTTCAATTGTCCACCTTGTTACTTTGATTTCTATCGGATTGTACGAAGACTGAAAACGTATCACAACGAGTTGAACACAGTTTGTATGATAGAATCTCTATGTACATTTTGGTGGCCANAATTGGTCTCTTAAAGAACAAATGAATTGATTTAATAACTTCTGATCACAAAATCCAGAGATTCTTACCGTGTCTCTGGCAAAGCCTGTGAGTTGAATTAATATTTAATAATCACAAGTAGTACAATGTTGTGGTGGTATTAATACCGCCTGATAAGACAGAGAAATTGTTGTCTCTTCATAGCATTCGAGAAGGTCACTTCAGAGTTCAGGTAGGTGAACTGAGATTTGTAAAATCTGGCTTGTAAGCTAACCGAGATAAGAAAAACCCCTCGCAGCATATTTTCTCTCAAATCTCAGATTGACTCTGGCAAGTAAAGAACTAACATTAAATTAACTTCTAGAATCAGAATTTTCAGAATCTTATTAATGTACCTGTAAGGTGATCCGAGACTCGGGGCATTAGGGAAAACGTCCTAGAGAATCTGTTTAAAATGATAAATTTACTTTATCACCCTGTTGGGAAACCATAGTTAACCATGTTTCTCTGCACTACCGACTCATCTAAATTCATTAAACAACTTTTCAATCCTTTCAATTGTCCACCTTGTTACTTTGATTTCTATCGGATTGTACGAAGACTGAAAACGTATCACAACGAGTTGAACACAGTTTGTGTGATAGAATCTCTATGTACATTTTGGTGGCCATGTAAGAGCAAAGGCTACACAAGTTGTTTTTGTACGTACTGACATCGTAATTCGAAAATTAATTTGTTCTCACATATTAATTTTAGACAAGACGAAAGATAAACCACACGAATGCAATGGTTGTTTTTTGGTGCACACTGCTTGGCTTCATGTTTCACTTGGCAGAAATTCTCGCCGATCAGCCTCGCAACGATGTCTGTCAAGACACCGGCAGAGAAGAATTCGGGTGGGCTTTAATTGGGCATGACTACAAAAGCTCGACGGCTGAAAGTTTCGGTCGATGCTTCTTTGACTGTAGCTTGGATGAAAAATGTCAAAGTACAACGTTTCTGTGGAACACTAAGGAATGCAAGCTGAAGAAAGAGACAAGGACGTCAAGGCCAATAGATATGGAGCAAAATCCAGCTGCCACTTACATGGAAAATCCTTACCGAGGTATTTTTACTCTACATTGTTTAAGGGGAAACAAATAGACTGCATAAGCCTTAACGGTCTAGACAAAGTTTACTGTGGAGCGTTAATTGCGAATTTTTATCAATTCAACTACTTATGTTTGTGTTATCAAAATGTTCCTTTTTACTGTTAGCGCCGTAATATTACTCACGAGGAATGGTAAACACATTGGCAGAAATACTGCAAACTCCTTGTGAAATTATGAAATTCAAAGTTCTATGAGAAATTTGTCAGCCGTCTGGACGTTCTGTCTTGATGCTGGTTTGCAACTGACGTTGGGCGGCCAAGTTCTTTGAAAAGAACAAAAACGTTTCCCTCTGATGGGAATTAGCTCTTTTTTCAAGCAATTATGCAAACCAAAACACACCATTGTATATAACTGTTTTGTCAACCAACACGGTCGCCTTGTGACGTGATTGCAAACCAAGATTAATAAACAACAAGTCAAAATCAGTCTTGTTTTGAAAATGTTCTAATAAGGAATTTTCCTTTCTAAATGAATGACGGTCATTAAGACCCTTTTAAAACGTCGAGCTTCACTTGTGCCAAATCTAATACCAATGAGAAAATTTAAAAAAAGCTGTTATCCTCGCTCATATGCATTAGATCCAGCACATGAGAAGTTCTAGACCTATAAACCGAGCCTAACTCTGCAAGGGCGTAAATCTTAGTGTCGGTTATTGAAACAAAGTATTACTTAGAGCATAGCTGAAGGAATCAGTTTTCCCCACCAGCAAGGAAAACTGAACAAATCGATACCCAACAATAAAAGCCTACATTGGTACATTTAAACACCAGTCCAAATGCCATATGGTTTTTTTAAATAAGTCTTTATTTTCCTGTACATAAAATATAGCAATTACCCCTTATATTCTAACGGTTAATTACAGAGATGCATTAATCAGTCCTGTGCTAATTTGAATGCGGTTTCTTGCAGCCAAAAAAGGCTCAAAAGCCTCGGTTCCAGGCTCGTCCTGCAAAGACATTTTAACAAGTGGTGAGGCTCAGGGAAATGGTGGATACTGGATTGACCCCACTGACTCAGGAGATCCCTTCAAGGTTTTCTGTGATATGAATAGTTATGGAGGTAAGCAATCTTTTAAACTTTCTTTTTGGTTTATTTCTCTTTTTGTAGATAAAAGAGGACGGAAAAAACTCAGTCTATAAAGATCGAAGTTTTCATAACACATTAGCCATGAAGAATTTACATTGCCTTATGTAGATTCCAAATTAAGTTTTATATCACGTCGGTTACTCCCCCAGAATTCATAACAGCACATCAGTGAATTTCATTATTCGACGATCATAGAGCAATATTATCGCGTAACTTAGCTTTGACAAATAGCCATCTATCGATCACCGATTGAATGCTTTTAAGTAATGCACCAGTTAGTTTGACTAATTTGACTAGTTTGATAGCCCTCAAATTTATGCATGTTATTGGTCCGTTGAATAGTTGAATAGTTAAATGCTTGAATTTTATTGGTCCGTATGCAAAAAGTCCTCGAAAATGATACCAAATTAACTTCTTATAGAAAGCTTGTCTTATGAGTCATTTCAATCGGTTATAATCAGTTACGAGTAAAGTAATGGGTCAGGTTAGGGTTACAGCTAGAGGCAAGGTTTTGCGCGAGGTTTAAGGTTAGGGTTAGGGTAAGTTAAAGTTTAGGGCTAGGGTTAGGTGGGGATTGGAACAACAATCGGTGACAAAATTGTTGAGACATTGTCAACAAATGAGGTAACGTCGAGAACAAAACTATCCACACCACTCCCTATCCTCCTCATTCAAAGATAAAAAGTTTGTTTTTTTCTGCAGGCAGCCCGAACAGCGGCACAACACTACATGGAGGGGATGGGGTAGGGAAAGTTTTATTTTCCTTTTTTAACTTTAGGGCGAAGTGTCTCGACTAATTTTGTCACCGATTGTAGGTTAAAGGTTAGGATAAGATTTTGGGTAATGTTTAAGCTTAGGTTTAGCAGTTCGGGAGTATGCCAGTTTTGGAAGAAGCGGTGACGTCATGATTCCATTGTTCTGCTAAAAATGCGCAAAAATGGGAAAAAAATAATCGCAAGAAACATGGAGCTTTTTTCAAAGCCTTTTCCAGGTCCTCTCGTTCAATATCCGGGACTTCCGAGCTAGCAGTGCCGACAAAGAGGCCTTCTCCTTGCTTTTTGAATGTCAAGGGAAGTTTCCTGCCACATTTCGGTAGTTAAAAGCGACAGTTTTCAAACGGCCTTCGAAGACGCCGCCGCCATCTTGACGGGCATCGAATGTAAGTACATGTCTTCATGTTTACTTTTCAGAATCTTGCCGAATTTTTACGGAATCAAGACTAATTTTCCTCAAAACTAAAACGTGTAAAGTGTGTTCAGGCAAAGTTCCATCGATGGCCGAAGCAAACTAGTAAAAATGGCAACCACGCACTGAGAATGGCCAGCGGGCAGGAAGGGTTACTAAATTGATGGGTATGCCTTAGTCTGTCTATGTAGTTTTAGTTGTAATCGATCAAGTCTGTGTTTGGTTGTTTTCACCGGCAATGTGAGGGTGCTGTACTTGTGAGATACAGCCAGGCACTGCCAGTCAGTGAACAAGTTATCCTAATCACTTCCCTTATGGATGGTCGTTCTCCGGAAGAATTAATCAAGGGGGTTATGAGGTCTCTTCAAGTGGACTCCCTGCAATTGTTGACCTACAATTTGCTTCGTGGCCGAGTAAAAGGTGTTTTAAGAGATGCACAGTCATTTTCTCAAACTTACAAATTTAAAGCATTGAGATCGTCACAAACGTTCATATGACTTGACTTGCATGACTTGCATGGCTCCCTTGCTCGCAGGTTATGTCAGGACCAGAAATAAAATGTTTATTCCCAAAAAACAAAATGTTACAATAAATAACTTTGATTGTATGTTTACTCTGATGTGTGAGCTTTGTTTTCTTGAAAGTGCTATTCAATAGAAACATGGGGAACTGTGAAAAAGAACTTCGAAAAATTTATGTTGTGTCCATGCCAAGTGCAGTAATCAACATTAATATTTTGGGCAAAACCTTCTTGTCTAAGGAGAAAAGTGCTCCTAGAAGTTACAATGCCTCTGGTTTGAAGGCAACCGCAGAGTTATAATTTAGTATTCAGGTGTAACATCAAATCCCATATAAGAGGATATTTTACAACAACGTTAACCCATAACCTTGTTGATCTCTGACCTCTGGTCAAATCCGGTGGACTGTATAAGACTGTAGTATCCCATCTTTTAAAATGGGATACTATAATCAATAAATCAATAGATCCAAAAACATGTACTAACAGGCATTCTTAGTTTTTCTCTATGTATATTAAATTTTAAAGAGTCTCTTCCATTTGTTAACCTTGAGCAAATAATCAGTGAACTTCAGACAGTGAAATGATTGAAAGCAATAGGTTTTTTTGAGGGGAACAAAAAATATGATCACTTCGCCGGTTTTCAACAAGAAAACGCGAACACAATACCCTCAGAAATCCCTTGTAAACCTATTGTATACCTGGACGGAACCGCTTCACGGCATGATAAATCAACGGAACCTCATATTCGAAAAAAACAGATATTTTACTCACAAATGATTCGCTTGCACCAAAACAATAACCTGAATTACAGCCATCTTCTCCGGCCAGTTGCTCACTCCAGAGAGAGAAACAGAAACAACGGGAAAAACTACAAGAAAACTTACTCTTTGCAAACATAAGGAAATAAATTACAGAACAACTCACTTTCCTAGTTGTTTCCAAAGCATTATTCTTTCTTATAATATAAAAAATTAATGAGATAAATAGGCACAAACGTGTTAGCGTGCTTACCTACACGTATTTTAAAAGTACCGATTACACACGCAGTGAGTACGTAGTGCCCACTAAGAGCACGATAAGCGAATAACTATAGCGCAAGAATGGTTACTCTGTGTCCTCAAGGTACTTCCCAATTCATAGTAGCGCGAAGTCAAATAAAAAACTCGAGAAAACGAGAATAAACGAGAATTTTGGTCAATACTCTTTCCTCTCCCTTGTCCGCCATTTTGAATGTTTTGAAAATGACCATTGCGATGGTGATCATGTTATGGTCGGTGACGTAGACTATTGTTTTCGCTTCTTCCAAAACTGGCATACTCCCGGACTGTTTAGGTCAACTCAACATGATGACTCATTCATTGACTCATTTACACTTTGGCTATGTTCACATTTTACCAGATAGGTAAAATTTTGCGAAGACACAAAAAGCTATCCAGCAAAGTATGACCTCAGGCCAATCTGGTCATCTTGCAGTAAGCAATGGGCCATTTGCACGACGGCGTAATTTTACTACTACAACCAGAATCCTTTTCGTTTTTCCTTTCATATTTAAATTTTGTACTCCCAGTGAGGTTTAAAAAACAAAAGCCCTAATTTGCACAAGAAAGCAAAACCCTGAAGGATTCTGGTCGCAGTAGTAAAATGATGTCATAGTGCCAGTGGCCTATTGTTAGAAAGTGCCTTACGGATGCAAAAGAAAGCTGCACGCATTATATCGGACGCCGAAAGAACGACAAGCCACGCGAGTTAACTATGTTTAATGAAATTGACTGGATTTCATTTTTTATTGAGGCATTAATGACTCCCTAAGGTTCAGTGACATAAAGGGGGAGGCAGTAGAAAACATTTGTATAACAAGAAAAGGGGGGTGGACAACTGAGGGATAACAATGATTACTCCTCCCCCTACACCTGTAAGGCTTGTGAAACTAAGGAAGGAATTTTAAAAAAAATTCCACTTTTTTTCTTTCTTTCTTTCTTTTATTAATATTATATTAATCACTATAATTTGGTAAAGAGCCCATGCCCTCTAGGGTAGTGATGTCCCTAGGAGGACCCCATAGGGTAGCGGTGTCTCGAGAGGCCTCCCTACATTAGAGTGTAACATGGGGTGGACCAGAAGAGGGATGCTTTTCTGGAAGGAGAATAGCTCAAATGGTGAGTTGTATCATCTTGGGGTAAGGGCTATCCCACATACTGTGGGGTAAAGTGCAGCCCGGGGTGCACTTCTTTGCCAACAATAAGTAAGTAACGAAGTAAAATGTACAAACACCTAGGATTTAATTGATGGATATTTCGAACTAATTTTTTTTTATAATGGTGGCAAGGTAATGAGTAATATGATGTAACAATCAAGGAGAAAAAATAACCAACTAAAATAGAATAAAATGAAATCGCATATGATAAAAATGAAATAAAAAGAGGCAGGACAAAGCACAGGCATAGCGATTAATGGAGACAAAGCTTCCAGTTGGTTGGGAGGACAGGGAAAAATACAATATGCAAGTGCAAGTCTGGAAACTTGTTTGAAGAGTAAAGCAAGTGGCTAGCAAGTAGTATGAGGGGTTTACATAGGGCAAGACAAGTGAGAATCATTTGATGCTGTGGAAATTACTGTATAAGAATTAAATTACTTAGCAAAGAGAGACAGGCAATTTTAAATATGTTTTAAATAGTTAAGTAGCCTTTTATATTAAGTCCGTAAATTAGTAAAACAAGGTCAATTTTCATTATATTTTTACTTGTTTCAAATAGTTAAAATATTAAAATAAGAGTCTAGATAGTTTTTAAATACTATTTTTGCTTGTTTTCAATTTTCTTTTGCAGCTGTCATATGTAAATTTTGATTTTTTGGATGACATTGCAAAAATTATTTTAATATTTTAATGATTTTATGTTAGTAGAGGGCCACAAGTGTATCAGTTTAGACCATAACTGTCAAGTGTTATCCTCTTTAAATAAAGGCGTCCCTTCACTTCACTTCACTTATCCAACATGTAACTCTCCACTTCGCTCAGGTCCGTCACAGAAATCGGGCCGAAATCATCGTTCTAGTAGGCTGATTTAGCAACAGAACGGGAACGTCATTTGACGACAGGAAAGCGCGCGGAAAGGACTAAACTCGACTTCCGGTGCCCAATTTGCTACTCTGTCATTGGTCAAGCCAGTTGTTTGATTTGCGCTCGCCGTCGTCATCTGACGTTCCCGTTCTGTTGCTAAATCAGCCTAGTGTGTGAACAGAAGACCGATCCCATTATATTTTTTTAACTGGTGCAAAAGCTATCCGGTATAGTGTGAACGTAGCGTTAATCCGCCGTACGGAAAAAGATGGCGGCTGTACATTTTACCACAATTCCTTTTGAACCTAACACGGCCAATTACACATAAAGTTATAAAGTCATGTTTTGGGGGGGGGGAGGTGAAATTCGTCCCTGTAATAGCAACATTCCCCATCTTAGGTTTGAAATTTTGCAAAACTCTTCTGTGCGTTTTTATGCGCAATTTATGGTTTTCATGCGCTAAGAACTGTGGGTAAATGTACCAGTCATCATCTTTTTAGGTACGGTGGATTCTCACATCGTCTCATAAATTTTTAAAGTACTTTAAACAACTTTCTATAAAATTTTACCACCGAAAACATTTAACTTATTGTGGCTTCTGATAGTTCAGTATAGCATTAATCATTTTTACTGGGTGATACTACTAATCTCGTTTTACCTATTCGTTCCTATGATTACCCATTGTTTCAGGTGGATGGCTTCTTATCAGTCGCTTTATTATGGAAACATCGGATTCAATAAACGATATTTCAAGCTCGACGGATTCCTATAGGACAATTCTTCCTGCATACGCTTCCAACAGCCAATATCTGCTGAGAAACGGCTTCAATCAGTTGAAACAAGACATGGGCTTCACTCAGATCCGACTGTATTGCTTCAAAAAGACAAGAGGCCGAGTTTTTCATATCATGACTAAGGAAGATGATACCAAAGGGGCAAACGTGGTGAAGTTTTTTACTTCGTCTAATAACATGCCCAAAGCTTGTGGATCCTTTTCACGCCTACCAGATGACAACTCGTCTCTGGCAGTCCATTGCGACAAGTGGGGTTACCCGAATACAGATCGATGGGGACATGGAAATATGTTAACAGATAGTCGCCTTTTTTCAAGGCCCATGACACTGGCATCTGTTCCCCGGTTTTATCGCTTAAAAGGTCCAAAATATCAGTGTGACGACAACGATGAACTCAACCCTTCAATTGGTGACACCTGGCAGGTCTTTGTGCGATAATTTATTAATAGTTGTTGGATAAGGCTGAGAATGTGATATGAAGAATTATGCAGATCGAAGAAAGTGTCATCGGCGTCGAAGATTAACACACTCCTTTAAATCTGCATAATACTTCATATCTTTTTTTATTCCTATTATACCTTTATATCATTTTATCCTTTTTTCAAAATATCTTCCATCTGATCTATGTATAGACTTGCTCAAAACTTGACTTTTTGACCGACAAAGTCGAGAGAACCGTACAAAAACGGACATGATATTAACCCAATCTCTATAAATCATATGCCAAGTTGGCATCGCGGCCTACAGGGGAATAAAACAGAAGAACTCTTCTTGAGGCTCAGCAATGAATAACGCAATTGTTTTTTTGTTGTTTTATCCCCTCAAGACGCGAAGCCAAGTATGAATTTCAATATTTCGAAATTGGTCTATTGAGAAAGTCTACCACCCATGTAAAGTTCCCGTCTTCAGAACATTTCCCTTTTTTTAGGGTTTTTCATTCTTGCCGAGATATTGTTCAATAACAGTTGTATCCGGCGAGTGGTATTTTTGTGTATGTGTATTTTTGAGGCAGTGGTTCAGTTATTTCGCCTTCGCATAGCATGAGAAATCTTTCGCCATTTTCTCCAGCTGTGCTCTGCCAAAATAGCTAAGCTACCGCGCCACCGTCTGTTCCTTTTTCTATCGAGAATCGGCAAACATCTTCCAAATGCTAATCACAAACTGGGAAATGTTTTGAATGCCGAATACAAATGATAAAAATCCTATCTAGCTCTTGGTTTTAATCATCAATTGGAAATTTCTCTAGGTAATTAGTGTTGGAACTTGTTGTCTCACATGTCAGGAGGAAACTTAGCTATGTAAACACTAATACTGCCAGAGCAGGGTGCCCGAGCTAGAAATATAAACGCGCCTAAATTTTTTGCCATTGAACCAGTCGCTTTTTTATAATTTATTTATTAAACATCAACATAACATTACAATAAACTTTACAATAACAGGGCGGCAAAAAAAAGATGCAAAACAGTAAAAAAACAAAACAAAACAAACAAGCAAGGAAAAAAGGGGAATACGAAAGTTCAACAGATTAGCAACAACTAGCAGAACAAATAGAAAAATAATAATAGTGCGCGTTTGCTAAATTACTATTATAATAATCAACACTAATCAGAAATGCACAGGGTGGTCCACTTATTTCTGTATTTGTTAAGATTTCCGTTTGTTATTGCAATTTCTCTTTCGCACTGGATTTTAATTTGCAGGAGAACAATGAAAACCTCCAGTTCCTGGGGTCTCAAACTTGTTTCTAGCTAAGTAAACGTAATATCTAGCAATTAAAAGATAATGGTTAAAAACCAGTCCCTTTTACTCGAACACCAAGTGTAGCCTTGTTTTTGGAAGGCACGTTAACACTAATTATAATCCAGGATTAAAATTTTTTCGCTAAGAGCTCAGCTCGTTAAAAGGTGGTTAACTATCTACTAAACCTCAATGACTGGGATAACGCCAATGGCTTCCCTAATCGATATCAGTTTTCCGCTGGATAGTGAATTATCCGCTGCATAGCGCTATCCTGAGTGTGAACAACCGGAACCAGGTTTCAAGTTTGGACCCGTTCCTATGGACTGTTTAAAGTATCATTTTACGTTATCGTTAATGGATGTCGGGGTGAAAACTCGTCAATATTTCATAATGTATCGGTCAAATCGAAGCTTCAACATGCCTCCCCGGGCAACCCCCCGGGACATTTGACTTTTTTGAAAATTATTGTTCAAATTCCCCCCTCCCCGGGCCAAAATGCCGTTCAAATGCCCCACACTATGGTCCATTCAGGTGATCAAATGCCCCCACCCCGGGGACGTTTCACAGGCACAAAACTGCCAGAGGGACGGCGGAAACGCCTTCAGTTGTCGAACAACATCTTTATAAATATAACAAAAACTGAGAAACACTGTTAGCGTATTTACTACGAACAAAAGTCTCGTGCAAAGCGGCGGAAATCGCTGCTACAAGGTCACTGAATGCTCAAAGCGTTCTATAAAAAAGACCCCATCTATTGAGATTACTACATCATGACCATTTCACTGATATGCATCATCGCTCACTTTATTAACTAACATACTTGCAGTAGGTCAAAGTAGTTGACCTGAGCTTTTTATTTTATTTTATTTTATGTTGTTGTATTGAATCGCCGATATAGGTATTGTATTTCATTGTATAAAACACAACAATAAAATACATTCATACATTCAAAGCCTGAATCCAGTATTAAAAATTTTAAAATCTGAATACTTCAAATACAGCACAAAGCTTGTTTAAGCCCTTTCCTCGAAACCAATTGGCCACAAAGGTACGATCTTTTCCACGAAAATCGTCTAACACCGCGTCCCCCATGATAGCTCGCCACGCCAAAGATTTTACATGAAATCGAGGATTCAGTTCAAATTCCCCACCCCTAAAGCATGGGGATCAAATTCCCCACCCCCTGGAAGACTCTGATAATCAAATTCCCTCCTCCCCGGGACGGCAAAGGTGTCAAATGCCCGGGGTATGCCCGGGGGGGGCATGTTGAAGCTTCGATTTGACCGATACATAACCTTCAGTTACATTTTTTTTGGCAAGAAAACTTCGCTTGAAAGTTGCCCAAGCACTGGCTTTAACCTGACCATTTTTGATCGAGGAATCGGAAAAAAGAGTAGTCCGAGTCTGGTTCTAGGGCGTGAAAAGGAGACTGAACATGGACTTCAATTTGGCACCCAGCAAAAAAACTCAAGGTACCTGCTATTTGTCGCGCGCCATCTTTTTTGCGTTGAAATGAAAAGTAGACAATAGAGGCTATGTTCAGTATCAGTCTTCCTTCACTTGCTGACAAGCATTATGACTTGGCAGAAAAAGAAGGTAATTCTCATTCGAGGCACTTTGAGCGTGATTCAGGTAGTATATTTATAGCTGGAAAGCTTAGAGGGGCGCACAAAAGCACAACTTTTGTCAATTTTTTTAAGTTAACTGCTAAATTAAAGTTTCATTATCGAGTCTAAACCATTGCCAGCATATTCGTAGCATGAATGGAGTTTACACGCATTGATATTTAAATGTATGTTTTACTTTATTTTAAAATGTGAAAAAGGCTTCTTATCTTGTCATGAAAATAACATTAAAATGTAATCCTTAGTTGTTCTCGCAAATATGATTAGACTGGCATCTCGGCAAAGGGCTAATCTGACACCGGCATTAGACGCCATCGCTTTACAAAGTTAAGTGCGCAAATCTTGCAAAATTTAAACAACATATTTTAAGCATTTTGTTTTGAACGGGTCATACTTAACCTGTGACTTTTTCGATCTTACTAGACCACACAGTGTGAACTAATGACTTCGTCGTCCTAGTAAGAGAAACCGTTAAAACTTAATTCTCCAAACGAGCCTGCCGAATAAATACCTGTTAACAATAATTCCACCTGGTTATCAGGTGCTTGTGTTTATTTGAATTCGGATGGTGATGTCCCGCTGCGAGAGGTTGATGACGAGGTTCGAGAGCCTGGACACCGGCCAACAAAGTGGTTTCTACATGGTAAACGCTAGAACGGCAAGCTCTTGCAAAGGGGCTTGAAAGCGCAATAAGGACAAACTGAAAGTGTCTTCCAAGACCTTTGGTATTGACTGTACATGACAAATTTGTGGGCGAATTGGCGATTAATCATCTTGAAGGACGCCAAGCCGCTTTAAAGCCAACAACTGCAGCTGAGGAACGCAGACGGCGGTTCCTGGGGAAAATAGAGCAAGCGAACCCTTTGGTGCTCCTACCACCCCGAGTTAAAACTAGCTGTTAAAAGGGTCTTTCGGGCAAAGAATTGTTATTTAGTCGTATACGTTACAACAAAGTTCTTAGCCCGAGGTCGATTATATTAGATGGTCCTCGTTGTATTGAATTAATAAGGTNGCATTTTGTTTTGAACGGGTCATACTTAACCTGTGACTTTTTCGATCTTACTAGACCACACAGTGTGAACTAATGACTTCGTCGTCCTAGTAAGAGAAACCGTTAAAACTTAATTCTCCAAACGAGCCTGCCGAATAAATACCTGTTAACAATAATTCCACCTGGTTATCAGGTGCTTGTGTTTATTTGAATTCGGATGGTGATGTCCCGCTGCGAGAGGTTGATGACGAGGTTCGAGAGCCTGGACACCGGCCAACAAAGTGGTTTCTACATGGTAAACGCTAGAACGGCAAGCTCTTGCAAAGGGGCTTGAAAGCGCAATAAGGACAAACTGAAAGTGTCTTCCAAGACCTTTGGTATTGACTGTACATGACAAATTTGTGGGCGAATTGGCGATTAATCATCTTGAAGGACGCCAAGCCGCTTTAAAGCCAACAACTGCAGCTGAGGAACGCAGACGGCGGTTCCTGGGGAAAATACAGCAAGCGAACCCTTTGGTGCTCCTACCACCCCGAGTTAAAACTAGCTGTCAAAAGGGTCTTTCGGGCAAAGAATTGTTATTTAGTCGTATACGTTACAACAAAGTTCTTAGCCCGAGGTCGATTATATTAGATGGTCCTCGTTGTATTGAATTAATAAGGTGTCCAAAAGGTTTTAGCCCGATGGGATATAATAATACATTGTCGTTACCGATCGAAAGACGAGACAAATGTGTTTAAGTTCCACGGACCTACTCGGTCACAAAACCTTTCAAGATTAACTTGAACTTCGCATCGGCAATACAGGTAAGCCTTAAGTTAAGTTTGAAAAATCAAACAGTTTTACTTAATTTATTCCAGAGAAATTTTCTTTTAAAAAAATGATAAGGTGGAATTTTTCAGCTTGTGCAACAAAACATCCACGTCTCCTCTGTTGCTCTCCAGCTTAAAAGACGAAAACGTCATCAATGACAAGCCCTTAGGTTGTTTCCAGCCGTGGCTTGGTTTTCTTTTCTATAAAAAAATTATCATTGGTAAATGTATTAGTTAATGCGGACACTACGATTTTTATGTCCTTAAATTTATTTCCTCTTAACTTGAAAAATTCCCTTCATGGGGCCGGTTTAAGCAACAAATTTCCTACTAATTATCTTACGAAACAAGTTTGGATCGGGAGGTGTAAAACTGCGACGTCGAATACTGTATATTTGCGTACAAGCTAAAAACATCATAATGATCACGACCTTGGATGTATTCCACCATGACTGTCAAATATTCAAAGAAGGATTGGGTTGTTGAAGACAGTTTATGTTGCAACTCAGCTATAAAAAGTATTACATTTTTTTTTTTTCAAACATTATTTTTTTGCATAAGGATTATTAGTTTTTTGGCCACTGTCTCATATGACAAAAGAGAGTTTTGTTTTAGGAAATGCGGCCAAAACCACAAAGAACATTGCACCAGACTGATAAATATTCGGCCTGACTGACATGTCATAACATGAGATGGAGAATTGTTTTTCCCTCTGAAGGCATGTTCTTTACTGGGGTACTGAGGGGCAAGTTTCTCTGAGAAGCACTTATCAAGGAAAACGATTGGTTTTAAGCCTTTTTTGCTTGTTCATTTAGTGTATATTATTGCTTGCATGAATGAAAAATTTGATCAGTTCGGTAATTTTGGGCTTTTTGTCAAAGTTCCACTGAAGTGAATAACTGAAGGTTTATCGATTTAGAGATAAAATTTTTGTGGCAAACAATGCAAATGCCGGCATGTTGTGGAAGGAATAGGAAGGTCGTTTTAGTATACCGGAGCATCATATGAAGGAATAAAACTGACAATTGTTGGTTACTTTATAGAACTCCTTTAAGCGTTTCTACTGACGCTCTTTCACCGAAAACTATAACAGGTCTTGCCTTTACAAATGGAAACTGGACGGAGGGGGAAAACTCTATAAAAACTCTCAAGGAAAGGCTTTTTCTGGGAACACTTGCTGGCAACGGGAAGACATGGGATTTATTGCGGCTGTTGAGTATCCCTGAGACAGTAATTGTTAAGACAGAACTTAACTCCAACGTAGATGTTTAAAATATGATCGTACCACGACTATAATCAAAAAACAACCCAATCTGTACGATGCAACTCATATTTAAAAAATAAAATCACTCATCTGTGCAGTTTTTTCCATGTTTAACGTTGTCTTGGCACACGTTGATTATTTTCAGGCTATATGTTATTTGACGATATAAATCTTCAAAGGCGACGAAAATTTGTTGGCAGACGTCACTTTCCCATAAAAACTCTTATACTGGTCAGTTCAATATCTGAGTCACAGCAGGGACCAGAAATTTGTGACATCATTAGTACAAAGCACTATTTACTGTGCTTCACTTTCCCACAGACCGATCACAATTTGCTAAACAACTTTTAATTAAATCCCTCATTTTTTCACCTTTAAACTTGTTTCAACCTCGGATTGTAAGAAAGCAGTTGATGCAAAAACGTTGCACAACGTTTGCTTAGTGCATTTCTATGTGCCATGCAGTAAAGAGCCGCGCTGAACTACACCATAACACAACTCGTCTTTGCACGTCAAGTGACATAGTAATCGGGTCATTGGTGTTTTGTTCCATATTTAGGAAGAGTGTAATAATCGACACTATGGTTGGTTTTTGGAGCCCAATTCTTGGCTTCATGCTCTACGTTGCAAAAATCATCGCAGATCAGCCTCCCAACGCTGTCTGTCAAGACACCGGCAGAGAGAAGTTTGGATGGGCTTTAATTGGGCATGACTACAAAAGCTCGACGGCTGAAAATTTCGGTCAATGTTTCTTTGACTGTACCTTAGATGAACAATGTCAGAGTGCTACGTTTCTCTGGAACACTAAGGAATGCAAACTAAAGAAAGAGACAAAGAAGTCAAGGCCAATGGATATGAAGGAAAATCCAGCTGCTACTTACATGGAGAATCCTTTTCGAGGTATTTTAAGATACTTAAGATTTTCCAAAAGCAAGCCAATAGGCGTACTTCTTAAGGCTCTAGGTGAGGTTTACTATTTAGCGTTTACTTTAGCAATATTTTGTACAAAAATATGAGCTAAAAATGTTTATATATACTGTTATCAAAGGTATTGCCCTTTTATTGTTAGCTTAACTTTGAAAGACCATACTGGAATCTTAGGGTCGGTACACTCATTCTGTCTTGCATGAGACCAAGACCATCTTTGCCAGCCCACGATGGTGTCTTAACATGTGTTATGGGATTGCGAAGCCGCTGGAAAAAACGACACAATTAGTATGCGTTCTCCTTTGTTGAACGCAACAATGACGTCAGAAATTTTTTTTATAATTTTACAATAAACAGTTTTGGATACAACTTGATTACTTTTGCCACTGAGCCCAAAAAATTCAAAGTAAAAAGTCCAACCAAAAGAAACTAGAGAGGAAAACTGAAAAGTCGATACCAACTCCTCCGCAACAGGTTCTATGGTTTAACAGTCATAGTGTTAATTATCTTTTACTGTTTTATTGTAGCTAAAAAAGGCTCAAAAGCCTCGATTCCAGGCTCGTCCTGTAAAGACATTTTAGCAAGCGGTGACTCTCAGGGAAATGGTGGATACTGGATTGACCCCACTGATTCAGGGAATCCTTTCCCTGTTTATTGTGACATGAATACTGACAGAGGTAACGTTTTATATTCTCGAGAAATTTTAAACGGAATAGACCGATTGCAAGTATGGCGACGATTTTACCAAAGCGAGACTTTTCGGTAGCAACCGTTGCTAGGGGCTGGTTGCCTGAGTTTACCTGTGCCGTTGCTGGAAAGCCTGCAGCTTCTCAGGCGTCTTTTTCCCTAAATTCGACAAAAATAAGTCAGTTTTCTTCGCTGAAAGAGGCTTCAATCTGGTATGTACGCCTGGAATACTGTTTTTCTATGCTAAATTGAACGATCAACTGACGCTCAGCGATCACAGAGAGAGTCATTTGCAGCGATCGCGATACTTTGACTGCCTGACATTTTTCATTCATTGTATTTAAGGTTCACTTGTAGGCTTAAATATTATCATTCCAAAAGCTGATCTTTTAGAATTGGATTGTATGCCATTTTTGCTGTACATTTATAAATAGTGAAACATGCCGGATAGTTGGTGCGTGCCTTTGTGCTGCAAGAGTGGTTATCGTGTAGGGCGGGATGGGAAAAGATCACGTATCATTGCCTCCCAACAGATGCTGTAGGACTGAAGGTACTACTTTCAAAATTCTCGTTCATTAAACCTATCGTTTCAGATTTCTGATATATTTCTCGATACGACTTATATTTCAGGAGTGGCTTGTGAAAATTAACGAGACGTATCTCCAGCATTTCAGATAACTGAAAAAACTAAAATCTGCTTCTTGCATTTCAAGATAAGTGAGTTTCGTGTATCCTTAACTGGTCGACGATGATGCTATTCCCTCTATCTTTTCATGGTTGGCAGCATCCCCTAAGGAAAATCACCACGTAAGAGGACACCGAGCCATTCCATAGCTCATGGCCAGAAGCCATCCTGCAGTAGTAAAAATGACCGCAACTCGAAAAGTGATGTGAATCAAATTAGCGAGTTGCACACACACGTTGCTCAACTTAAACAAGAAAAGAACATACTCCAAATTCACAATAACTTCACTCTGCACAAAAAAATCAACAAGGGACGCCTATTTAAACTTGCAATCACTTAGACAGGAAAAAATAATGAGACAAAAGACAAAGGTGCATTAAAGTTTTCTAGTCTATTTGATCATATAAAACAGAGGGCTGCTCACTTTGCAACAAGTTCGGCCCTTCACTGTTAATTTTTTCAGGCTCACTTTCTTCCTTAAAAGGATTTACTTTAATTCCTTCACATGCATCTTTTCCACAGGTCTATCCATTATCAACTGCTTAACAAACAGTGAAAGTCTAAGACAATTTCAAGAAGTTCAGGGTCAAAGTCGGTAATGTAATATCAATTCACACATAAGTTCATCGCAATTGTGATTTTTCGTATCATCTATACGTTCAGATTTATCTCAAAGAACTGACAGTGACTTCTTCTTGAAAGTTTTCTATTGTTTCCAGAGTGAAAAAAAAAAAACAAGATAACGGACTCGCATTAGCATGTAAACAAGCGACCAGCCCTTAGCAGCGGTTGCTAGCGAAAAGCCTCGCTTTGATGAGATCGTCGCTATATTTACAATCGGTCTATAAAAGCCAGTCTTTTAAAGATTAACATTAAGATAACGCGTTTGCCACGATGACTTTACACTTTAAACAGTGCGCTCTTCTGGCAGTTTAAATGACAAAGGAAATACTATATGTAGAAAGGAAATTTCACTGGACCGCACCCTTGCAATTCAGCAATTTTTTCCCATAAAATACCCGATAAGTTCGCAGAATCATATAATCTTTGTCATATTTGTTTATCACCTCAAAATTGTCTTTCCAGCCGATTTCCTCGTGTCTCTTTATCTTAATTGTATCCTGATGGTATTAAACAAGTCACGTGACTGCAAGCTGCAAAGGGCCTATTAATTTATTAGCACATTGTAAAATTATAGCTGAGCAGTTCTGATCGGACAGTTTAGTGTTCAGTATCGTGGGATATTTTACGAGTCAAGCAGTCTCCCCACCGCGTCTCGCCTTTCTCGCGTGGGGTGATTTTCACGCGCGCTCGCGTTTCACTCACTCTTCTTTCCCTGAGGAAAAATGGGGGACTACTCGAAGTCTACCCACGTAGCGTCTAGTGAGCTAAAAAGCTCGTTCAAAATACGTACGTGCTAAACACTAAACCGTCCAATAAGGATTCATTATTCAACTTTATGAGAATATAGAACTCAGTATATTCTCGTGGAGCACAAATACCGTGAATATTTGTACTTGTTTTGAGTGTTATTTGTACTCTGCTGAGTGAAGTTGAATGATAAAATGTATTGTTATATTCCTAGACTTTCACTCAGCTAAACAGGGAATGCCATTGGTTGATTCTTGGTCACGTGGCCTTGACTAAACTCAAATGTATCCCGATTGTGATATATTAAGCAATGAACCCCGCTCGGGATACATTACAGCACGTGATCAAAGCATATTGGAAAGTGGCTTGACAGAAGGCGGGAAAAACACCGCCAGTTTTCTTTTTCGTGAATGAACACAACAACACAACCAGGAAGCCTGAAGCTAAAAGCGATTTTCAAAGTTATCCCGGAAGAGAAACAGCAGGTAGTGCAGGAAAAAGATGCAGATAATATAAGGAAAGTACTTTGCAAATCATTCATTCAGTGGTTTTGAGAATGAAATTTGGGTTCTTATAAGTGCCGAGTCGACTGTTTTCGTTCGCTCCGGTTATTCTTTTGTTGCTGTTGAAGTGAAAGTCTAGAAATATAACAAAACACTCAATGCCAGGTCCCTCGGGAAACCAATTAGTTTTGTTTTCCCTCGAGTCCTGATGTTTCCGGAAAACAAAACTAGCTGTTTCCCTCGGGATCTGACATTAAGTGTATAATATTTCTAGGTGATAGTACTACTATCAGCCAGAGTATTACAAGTTTTTACTAACTTCTTCCTATTACCCATTGTTTCAGGTGGATGGCTTCTAATCTCTCGCTTTATTATGGAAACGTTAAATTCATCAAACGATAGCTCAACCGAGTCGGATTCTTATAGGGCAATTCTTCCAGCATACACTTCTAACAACCAATACCTGCTGAGAAGTGGCTTCAATCAGTTGAAACAAGATATGGGCTTCACGCAGATCCGTTTCTATTGCTTCAAAAACGCAACAGGCCGAGCATTTCACATCATGACCAACGAAGATACCAATGGGACAAACGTGGTGAATTTTTTTACCACTTCTGATAACATTCCCGTAGCTTGTGGATCCTTTACACGCCTTCCAGATGACAACTCATCTCTCGCCGTCAACTGCGACAAGTGGGGTCAACCGACTAAAAATCGGTGGGGACATGCATCGAAGTTAACAAATGACCGCCTTTTTCTTAGGCCCTTAACATGGTCACTTACTCGGTTTTATCGCCTAAAAGGAGGTTCAAGATATCAGTGTGACGACAAAACGTTTCCCCTATCAGTTGGTGACATTTGGCAAGTCTTTGTGCGATAAGTTTTATTGGACAAGCATGATATGAAGAATTATACAGATCGGCCACATGACACTTTCTGAGATCTCCATAATTGGTCACAGCATACGAGAGCACTGGGTCCATTAACTTTTATATTCTTTATTCAAAATATTTCCAAAAGATGGTTATCTCAATCTATGTTAAGGTAGCTGAACACAGTTTTTGTAGGAAAATGCTTTATCCCTTTGCTGTTAACGTCTTTACCATGAGGCGGATAAAAAGCCGGGAGAAAAATGCCTAGAAATTATCAGTAGAAATTTATTCTATTTTCGTCACCTTTGACATATCGCGTGATCTCAGCACCCGCTTAATTATTGAGCATGCGTACTTTAATAGGGAGCAATATGAGGGCGCTTTACAGAGTTTTGTTGACTTTCATAGGCAATGCAAACGTCAAACTATAAAAAAATCTAGTCATATCGCACTTCAGTCGTCAATGAAAGCCTCGAAATAAAAGTTGAAACAAGGAATTTATGTGACATAATTAAGTTTCTTGTATTTTTTTTTATCATTTTTTTTTTTTAAGTGAAGGTTACTAATTGTAAGCTGTGTGCAAATTCATAACGAAATCTAATGACTAGATTTTGCATAAATCTACTAAGTTTCACATTTGGGGCTTGTTTTAAATCATCCATGTCGCCATAGCAACGATCGAAATCGCCTTATACCTGCAACGAGTTTTAGATAATACCCCTTTGTCTGGTAACGATTTACACCAACTTTTAAAATTAAAACAGGAAACTGATCCTTACGGCAGGAAGAGTGATAGAAAAAATAAAGAAAGAAAACAAAAATAAAAATGGTGAACTATATTTGCCTGATACTCCGCTTTGCAACACATGTCTTTAACGAGAGCTAAAAAAGAAAAATGAATACATATACAAGATGAACGTTACTTATGCGAGATTTGAATACATAGCAGACAGAAAATGATAGGCTAGTAAAAAAGATCGCTGTCACTTATTGAGTTCATCATGTCTATTTATACCACGGTGTTCTAATGTCATTTCTTTGTCGACGAGGTGAGCCTCGCGTGCTTTTCTGACAGAGTCACGGTTGTTATGGCCACGTTTCTAATTCTATTCTTGTTTCTGGACATTTTAATCAAGCCCAGTCACTCTGTCAACGACGTCCTTCTTGAATTGCTCCCTTAGAACTAACCCATTATGGGTAATTTATATAGCATCATCTTATGAATAACAGCTGTAGAGCTTAGTAGCGGTCTGGATTTTTCGTTTGGGAACTTAAGCAACGACGACGACGGCGACGACGACGACGACGGCGACGACGACGACGACGACGACGACAACGACCGGTGACAACGTCAAAAAAACAAGTGGTTTTATGAGCAAAACGCTTTTTAGTACATTTCTTTGACGTCCACTGGACGACTACAACGTGAAACCTCCCAATGCGACATTTTATGGAGGACGTGGACATACGACGACAAATTTTCCTTTTTCTGTTTGAACTCGATAAAGTCCTTAAGAGTTCAACTCCAGGAAAAGTCGCCCACATATGACGAATAGAGCGGTTCCAAATAGACGCGATAAAGTTTGAAAGGACACAAATTTATTTTGTTAGTGATGTTTTCACTGCTGTCGTCGTCGTTGTTGCTTAAGCTCCCTATTGTTATAAAAATTAAGTAACGCTGTTGTTCTACGGTGTCTTTTTACCAAGCTTGACTTTTTATTTATTCAAGATAAACAATTTAGTTAAAATGCACCATTTTTCGCGAACTAGTTAAACCGTTCTAAACGGTTGTTATGTAAATATTACATTAAAATGTAATCTTCAATTGCTGTTGCTAAAATGAATAGAATGGTACCTCTGCAAAGGCAAATATGACACCGATCACTACTGACGCTACCTAATGTAGGCACCAGATTTTTTTCCTCCAAAAGTCACCTCAATGTACGTTAAGTTCAGCCAAAAACTGTAAGAACGTTAACGAGATATTTTGGGATGACGTTCAATTTCATGGTTAAAAATACGATAAAAACTGGACTATCTTGATGTTCGGCCGTTGTCTATAGGAAGCGAGGCCCTTTTTATTTGCAACTTGACCTCATATCATAGTAGTTTGAATCTTTTTAAAAATGTGTGTGAAGGATCATGAAGATTGCTCTAGCTGATTGCCAGAGAGAAGGATATGATTATTATTTGTCGAGGCGCTCTTGGTAGCGGTTTAGTCAACATTTTGGTCTACTTGAATAAATAAGCGAAAGATTTTGAAACCGCTAGACAGATTTTTTTCAATTTGAGATGTCATTTTATAAGACCTTTAATCTGAGTTTCAAGATTATTGATAAAGCTTGATAACTTGTAAGGCAGTAAAATAAGGGCTACAGTTCGCTAAGTTCTTCATAGGAAATTTCATGTTTGTTAGTCGGAGCCTCTCATTTTTCAGGGGTATTGTCTCCAAAATTTCTTATTTCCCTGGACAACAATAGCTTACATTTCTGAATATTTCAAATGCATTGTTAGTTTTCCTATAGATTTTGCTTTAACTTCACGAACATCAAGGGGCGCGTATTTGAGGAAAAAGCTCCAGTGAACGATTTTTGAAGAAGAGCCAGTCCCAGTGCCGAGAAATGCGGCTGCAAGTAAAATAGGTAATGGCTTCGTTTCGTTGCTATGACAACTTTTATGTCATTGTAACCCTGATCAAAACAAATTTTCATCTTTTTTAATACAGCTGTGTTGGTAATTTTTCCAAATCTTTGTTAATAGCGACGTGTTTTATGCTCAAACTTGGCGGCGGTATTGAACCTGAAAACCCCAAGCCTTAAGGGGTGCTTTGTTATTAAATACGGGGCTCATTATGATTCAAATGGATCAGAAAATCAGCGGAAGAACATTATAGAGGTCAAATAAATAGGCAGCTTGAGACCTTAACTGTGCAAAATTGATTAAGCCAAGCACACGATTTTGAAATATCAAAATCTTATTTTGATAAATTTAGATTAAGCAGCTTTGCCCCAAACCGCTAGGTCTTAGGTTATATATGAGGTTGGATCAAAGATTGTTAAATATCTAACAAGGAGCAAGAATTAACAAAGTTCTTTAACCTCGCCAGGTTTCCGAGCGATTTGCTGATGTTTGTTGCGATGTATTGAATATGATATTTTCCCCAAAGTACTTGAAAAAGTCTTTTCTGATAAGTTTGATTTACTTACTTTTAAGGAAAAATGTTAGCCATTAGTCTGACATTAGCCATCTGCTAGATACTTCATCAATTACATGTACATTATCCTCGAGAGATCTTAATAAGCTTTTATCAGCGTAGAGTAGATAAGCATCATCAGCAAATAAATAAAAGCTTAATTCGTTTTCCTGATGAATTTTTTTAATATCATTATTGTTCAATAAAAATAGTAGTGGACCTAGGACTGAACTTTGAAGGACACCGCAAATTGTTTTGTCTTTTTGGAAATGCAACACCCTGTGTACTTTAGTAGCCATTAGTCAGGCAGATAGGATGAAAACCAGTTATGACTTCACCTCTTACACCAAAATGTTCGACAAGCTTTTCCGTTAAGATTGAATAATCAACTGTGTCAAATATCTTCTTTAAGTCATAGTTAATAGAGTGGAATGGTTATGAAACCCGTCAGACTCCTTAGTTCTATGTTTTGAAGACCTGAAGGTGTACAACGTTCAATAGCATTCCTAACTTTTTGATCTTAGTGACCGATAAAAACGTTCCACTGATCTATTCTGTCACAATTTGTCAACAGAAAACTGATGATTGTGCATTCTCAGGGAGCTTCCGACATAAACTGTTCCAGCATTTTTTTAATATCTTTGATGTTTGCCGCCTTTCGTAACCATTCTCCTCTAATAACTTTGTTTATATCGATACAGATACAACAAAAATAAATTTTGTAAATAGATGATACGTTGTATTATATTAACAATGTCAATAAGAGCATTTTGAGTGGAGCAACGTTCACGAAATCCAGATTGAAATTGATATAATACAATGTGTTTATCAAGAAAAGATTTAAGACGGCTGTAAATACGGTTTCTTTAATGTACGGTTAAAGGAAAAATGGAGTGCGATTGGTGCATAAATATTTGGTTTAAATTCATCCTCCCACTTGAAGATTGTTATAATCTTCGTATGTTTAGCGTTTATGGGTATATGAAGCTGTTAACTTATTTGTTTATAATTCCAACAAGAGGTTTCCGAAGAAGGTGACAACGAGATTTTAGAATTCGTGTGGGCGCAGGAATACAACTTCAGGGGTTTTTTAAAATAACAGCGTAAATGTAAAAATATTTTTCTGGTTGACTCGAGAGAGTAGCATAATTATAGAGGAGTTCTCGCGCGCGAAGCGAGCGCAGCGGAGCACCATGGGTAAGAAAATGTGGTAAACTAGCCATCCGAGAAAATTTGGTAATCACGTGACCGTACACCGACCGAGCGCCCGACCGTCCATACGCACCACAGGCATACTAAAGTAAAATAACTCAATCAACAGGTATGGCAACCCAAATGCAACTCGAGGTTATTTTCACGGGAAATCTTATAGCCTTCCGCGTCTTGTAAAGCAGAGACAACTAAAGAGTCAATGAAGACGAAAACGGCAAGCGGAAATTGTCTCTGTATCCGTGTTTCCTAAAGTATTAAGCTGAGATTAATTGCATGTCCACAAATTTGGAATATAGAGCAAGAGAAACACAGAGAAAAAGAGAAAGTAGGCGGCAGGCGAGCGAAGTTCAACGAGAAAAAGGGCGACAGAGATCTAGAGAAGAGATAAGAAACAAAGGAGCAATTTTTTGTTGGAAGAACAACATGAAAATTTTGTAACGGCGGTGACAAAATGAGAAATGCTAGCGGCCACCAATGCAAGGTGAAAATGAGCGGTAGTGAAAAAAAATTGAACGAGAAAACGTTCGACATTTCCTCCATAAAACGTGTAACTAAGAAGTTTCTCGAAGTTTCACGTTGTAGTCGTGCAAAACAACGGCAAAG